CCGAGGGCCAGACAGGTTTCTGGGACAGATGGAGGCGCCCGCAGCACAAGTCTGAAGGAGGAGCTGAAGGCAGGAGGAGGGATCCTGCAGACGGTGTGGGCACAGATCCCCTGGCCCCTGGCCCCAAGGTCACCTCGCAGAGAAGGGCTTGGTCTGGCTGCAGGCCCTGCCTTCCCAGCCCAGCCCCTCTCCACAGACCCGAGAGTCCCCCCGGGACGCTGCAGGACCCCCACTGCCCAGCCAACACCCAGCCTGCCATGGGCTCCGGGAACCAGGGACGCGTCGTGCTCGGGGACGTGCACCCAGACAGCCCCCAGAACTCTTGAAGCCAACAGCCCGAGGGCAGACCCGCCAGAGACATGGATGGCAACGCAAATGCAGGCACCCTGAGCCCCGGCACTGACACGCGTGCTGGCCAGTCAGGCGCCCGCTGGTCCGGGGTCTCAGGACAAGGCTGGGTCGCCTGAGAGCACATCGTGGGCAGATGAGACATTCTGCCCTTTAGGAGAAGCCCAGGCACCCACCTCCCCTCGGGCCACCTGTGCCCCTGCCCCCAACGCGTAGCCCACTCGCAGTGACCGGCGCGGGGCAGGTGGCTGTGGTCAGCGGGTGGTGGCACGGTGTTGACGGGGCCCTGGTGCTGTGCACCCAGGGGACATGGGTCTACATCAGGACAAGGTGGCCTGCCCACAGCCCCCCCAGGCCCAGGTGGAGCGGCCAGGACGGCAAGGGGGGGACGGGCCCTGGCTCAGTGCAGCTACAGGCAAGGGAAGCAGACAGGAGCTGGCTGGACCACAGCCCCAGGCACCCCCACCCCCCGAGGACCCAAACCCGGGCACCGTGCCAAGCGGGGCAGGGTCGGCAGGCAGCAAGGCCAGCCCTGCCTGGGGCCCACCCAGGCCCGCGGCCACACACAGGGCTCTCCCGAGCAGGACCCAGGTCTGAGCACCCAGGCGAAGAGCCCCGGGGCAGGGGACAGGCCCCCTCACTGAGCCCCTAGCCCTCCCATGACAGGCTGCCCGTCCTTGCCAGAGCCAGGGGGAGCAGGGCTGCCCTGAGGGAGCTTCATCCCAGACCAGGCAGCCCCGTCACGGCCTCTTCTGCCGGTGGTGCCCCGAAAGCCCGGGGCCAGCGTCAGCCACCACTGGGACCTGGAGCCTCAGGGGCACGGGGTCCGTCGCACGGGCCAAACCAGCCTCCCAAATGCAGGCCCATGGTCAAGGCAAGACCCGTACGGACAGTGCAGGCCTGGGCCCGTGACCTTCTGGGCCCCGCAGCAGGCACCCCGAGAGCCACCAGGGGCCTGCAGCGTGCAGCTGACGACCTCTGGGGTGACCTGGGCACGAAGAACTACCACAGCCCGTCAGCTCAGAGCTCACTGCAACAGAGAAACCACTTCGCTGCCCCGGCTACTCCAGAAAGGGGGTGACAGGTGCTCCCCTAAAAGCCTGGTTGGGGGAAGGACAGGCCGTGTAGCACACCCCAGTCGGCATCAGCAGGCCCCGCCACCTCCTCAGAAGACATTACAGCAGGGGACACCCCTGAAAGCACCTTTAGGGCAAAGCACATGAGCACCACACACACGTACACACGTACTCACATTCACACTCACACGTATACAAGCAGAGATGCGTGTGCACAGAGGTGGGCGCAGTGCTGTGACTCCTTGCCTCCTCCACAAAGCAGGCACCAGCTCCGCTCCTCCCGACAGGCGTTTCCGTTGCCAAGGAAGTGCCTATCAGTCCACCTTCTCCAACCGGGGGCCCCCTGGGCTCTGTCCACGCCAGACGCCGGGCTTCTGATGGCAGCACACGCTTTGGTGTGACTGCCCAGCCGCGGGTGAGGAAGCGGGTCTGAGGTCAGCGGCCCAGGGCTTCCCAGAGCGCCCCCAACACCCACCTGGAGGGGGAGCCGGGACAGTGGAGGGTAGTGGGCAGGGCCCGGGCAGCCAGGCCTCAGCGGGCTCTCACAGCTGCCTCCTCCCAGCGCCCAACACCCCCCTCCTGGCACCAGGAGCCCCATGTCACCCTCCACCCACGGAGCAGCTTCGGCACAGCCAGGCCAGCATCCCCACAACAGCCACAGACCTCCCCTAATGACCAGCCTGGCTCTGTTGACCAAGGCCCCAAAGCCACACCGCCATAGAGCCTGCCCAAGGCTCTCCTGGGAGGTCCCATCCTCGGGCCGTCTCCCACCTTCCTGCAGCCTCAGGACAGGTGATGCTGCTGTCCCTGGAGAAGCTATGGGAGCTGCCACCCCGAGGGAACAGAAGGTCACCCAAGGGCCACAGTTCCTCTAGACATAAAAGACCACGAGGAAAACACCCTGACGGTCATTCCCCAAACCCAGCAGAAGGTGAGGTCCAGCACGTGGGGTCACGCAGAGGTCTCTCCCAGGACGGCTGCGGTTTGGCCCTAAGTCTGAGCAGTAGATGCCTCTGCCCCTGCTCCAGTATGTCCCTCCCTCTGGCTGTCACCCAGGGCTGCCCTCCAGACTAGGTCCTGGCACCAGGCTCTGCTGCCCACACCCTAACCCCACGCCTCCCCCCAGCAGGCTTCAGCACTTGTCGCCCTGGCCCGGCGAGAAGGGGAGCTCTCAGCTGCCCCCGAAGCCATTCGATCTCTCTCCCTTTACCCCGAGGACGTGGCTCCCGTGGGGACCGAACCACAGGGAAAGAGGTACAAGTCCACGGGACTCATTCCTCCAGGAGGGAGTATGTTCTCTTCTCACATTTTTAATCTGCAAGGCCAAGGACAAGCGTCCCTGCGGCTCCCTCCTCTGCCAAGGCAAACAGCGCTCCAAACTGCAGCTGGAACGGTGCAGGGCCAGAGCAAACAGCTGGGCCGCCCCGCGGGGCACACGGCCGGGGACACGGCCCTGCCACACTTCCGCCAGCCGACCTAGGCGCAGAGGCGGCCCGGCCCCCGGACGGGATGGTGGGCCAGCCGGGTCCACACGGGCACCTTGGCTGCACCCTGACTGTGCCTCCGGGAGGCCGGGCCGCCACCAGGCCTGGGTGCCCCCGCTGCCCCCCCCGCCCCCCCCCCGCAGGAAATGCTGAGCTCCCTGGGGATAAAACACAAAAGGGTGAGAGAGCACTCGGCACTCGAGGACTTGGCAGGCGGGCCACAGGGCGGCGGGGACGGCGCCGCCCACAAAGCCAACCTGGCCGCGGTGCTGGGCTGCGGGGGGCACGGCCCTGCGGACACCCAGGCCCGGCAGCCTTGCGGAGCTCGGGGCTCCTCGCCATGCTTCCCCGCGAGCTTGCGAACCGCCTGGCCCATGGGCACAAAGCACGGGCTCGCCTGTTGAATGTGCACCCGACACCCTCCAGCCGGCTGCCCGAGGGGTTCACGGTCCTCACGCTCAAACCCACTTGTTTCCTGCCAGCAGATCTCACTTCAGAGCTCCGGATAAATCACAGCTCCATCTGGAAGCCGCTCGGCCGTAACTGCACGCCTCGCTGCCCAGCTTACGAGAGTGCTAGCAAGGACGATCGTGGGGTTCCCCTGAGCAAAGCCACGCCGGGCACCCCTTGTGAGTCTCCCCATGAAAGTTCCTGTTTAACGGTTTCATGGCAGAAACAGGGTAAATAGGAAAGAGATCCTCTGGCCGGCACTTCCCTTCCACCCCCTGCAACAGCGAGCAAACGGCTATGGAACTAATGACTAATGATCTAATAAACCTCCCGTCCCTGACAGCATCAGCAGAACCCCACCGCCGGGATCGGGGTCGCACGCCACGGGTTCTCCGCGGCACCGAACACGAGACCCCCAGAGGCTGTTCCTTCTGCGTGCCCAGCCCTCCTCGGCCTCTGACTCGTGTTTACCGGCGGCTCTAACATGGCTCCGGGACGGGCTCCGTCCACCCCGCCCCGGCCCGGCCTCAGGATTCCTCCCGGCATCCGGCTCTAACTTTAAGACCCGTGTTAGAAGCCGCGTTGGAGGAGTCCGCCGCCTGAAACCCAGCTGCGAGCGCGGGGGGCCCACCGGCAAGTCCCCCGGGGAGGGGGGCTGTGCTGTCCCGGCCGAGGTGTCACCGAGGTGTCACGGGGAGGGCTGCGCAGGCCGGGCCAGGAGGGCTCAGCCACAGTCGCTCAACACAATCAGAAACTGTTGCGCGGCCAGCGCCTCGCAGCCCCACGCGGCGGCCCGTACACCGGGTGCCTGCCTCTCCCAGCCCAGCAGTAACGCCCGGGCTCGGGTTCGGCTCGGGTTCGGGCTCGGCTCTGGAACCCGGCGCGGCTCGCTAGGCCGCCTGCTGCGGACGCCCAGGCCCCCGGCCTCCCCCCACGGAGGACCTGCCCGCGCGGGGCTGATGCGGGCCCTGGGGCTGCCGGACCGGGGGTGCGGCCGCAAACCGGCAATGGAGGCGGGGGAGACGGGGCGCAGGGCCGGCCCCCGCGGACCAGGCCCGGCGGAGCGGGAGGGGGCCCGGGCTCGGGGCTGCGGCCCTGCGCGGTGACAGCGGCGGCGGCGGCGTGTGAGCAGGGCGGCCGCGCACCCCGCTCTCACACAGGCGCGCCAGCCTCCCCACCATCAGTCTTCTCCTCCGCGGTTACATAAGACGACGGGTTGTCCGTCCACCCCCCGCCCGCGCGACCTCCCACCCGGCCGCCCAGGGCGCCAGCGCGGCCGCGAGCGAGTTGCGCGAAGGGAGCGCCTGTGGGCGGAAAGTGCCCGGGGCCTCGCGTAACCGCGGCCGCAGGGGCCGCCACCGGGTCCGCTCGCCGCCGGGGGCGCGGGGCGACGCGGCCCCGACCCCGACCCCGGCCCCGGCCCCGGCCCCGGCCCCGGCCCCGGCCCCGGCGCAGCGCTCGCCTCCCGCAGGGCCCGGTTCCGCGGACGCGGGGGCGGCGGGGCAGGGCGGGGGCTGCGGGGCGGGGGCGGGGCGGGGGCGGGGCGCCCACCTGTGACCCGCGGGCAGGCGCCGGGGCCCCGCGGCCGCGCCAAGACCCGGGGGCCCCGGGCGGGCCCGAGCGCGGGCGGCGCGGGGCTCACCTTGTACACGTTCTCCGTGAGCCGGTGCATCTCCTCCGTGCGCGACAGCGACATGGTGCGGGGTGCGGGTCCGGCGGGCCGCGGGGCGGAGCGGGAGCGGGGGCGCGGGCGGCGGCGGGCGGCGGGCGGGCGCGGGCGGCGGGCGCGCGGAGCCGGACCAGGGACGCGGCGCCCCGCCGGCGGACGCCTTTATAGCCGCTCTCGCCCCGCCCCCCGCAGGCTCCGCCCCCCGCGCCCCGTCGCCGCCCCCGGCCGCCAGCCCGCCCCCGGCCGGCCGCGCCGCTGCCAGGCAACCGGCAGGCCCCGCCCCCGCACCGCCCTTCCCATTGGTGGGTTCCGGACGGGGGAGGGGGCGGGGCCCGGCGGCCGGCCGCAGGCGCCGATTGGCCGGCGGCGCTGTCGATCGCGGGGGAGGAGGCGGGGGCGCGGCGCGGGCCGCGGCCTGGGAGCAGCCCGGGGGCCGGGCGACAGCCGGGCTGGGGGCGGGGCGGCGTGGGCCGGCGGCGCGGGAGGAGCGGCGCGGGGGCGGGGGCGGGGGCGGGGGCGCGGCGGCGGGCGCGCGGGGGGGCGGGGGGGGGGGGCTCTTCGCCGAGTCGCGGTCTGGGCGGACCCCGGGCGCCGCGGGTCGCGGGCTCGGGGCAGGCCCGGGGAGAGGCCAGCGCGCGGCCTCGGGTCCCGCCCGGACCCCGACTTTCGGGAGGTGAGTGTGCGGGGCGCGGGCGGGGAGGAGGATGGGCGGGAGGCCCGGGGGGGGGGGGGGGCTGGGGGAGGGTCTGGGAGGGAGGGTCCTGGGAGGGCTGGACCCCGGGAGGGAGGGACAGACCCTGGGAGGGACGGACCCTGGCAGTGACGAGTCCTGGGAGGATGGACCCTGGGAGGGACGGACCCCCGGAGGGTGGGGTGGGCCTTGGGAGGGTGCACTCTGGGAAGGCTGGACCCTAGGAGTGACAGACCCTGGGAGGGTGGGCTGGACGGACCCTGGCAGTGACAAGTCCTGGGAGGATGGGCCCTGGGAGGGTGGGCTCTGGGGTGTGTAGGGGGGTGTCATGGGGAAGGACCCTGGAAGGGGTGGACCCTGGGGAGGATCCTGAGAGGGGCGCGTCCTGGGAGTGGACCTTGGGAGGGTGGGCTCTGGGAGAGGAGGGCCCGGGAGGGGTGACTAGGGCGCCGGGTGGCCCCCGAGGAAAACCCTGGCAAAGGGAGCATCCTGGGGACAGGGAGGACAGTTTGCCAAGAAGATCATAGAGGGGGTGGGTGGGCAGGTGGGACAGGACCCTGTGGAGAGGACTGCCCGGGACCCCCAGGGAAGGAGAGGACCCGCGATGGCAGATGACCCTCGCCGGGAACACTTTCTTTGGGGAGGGGTGGACCCTGGGGGTGGAGGACCTCCCTTGGAGGGATCACGGGGTCAGACCGCTGGCTGGTTCTGAAGGCCTTTCCTGGGAGGGTCCACGGGGAAGCTGACCCAGTGGCCCACAGGGCTCCCAGTATAATTCCTTTGGAAAAATATTCACAGAAATTAGAGTTACGCAGAGGGATTGTTTGCTTTACGTTGTAAGACACCAGATCTGAGCGTTTCCCTCTCGCGAAGCCCGACGCCGCGCCGCATCCTGCCCAGGACAGCGGCTCACACGGCTCCTCACACGGCTGCTCAAGCACAGGCGCCCAGGAAGACACGGCCCCGCCAGGTGGCCCTGCACGGAGCGGGACTAGGGCAAGTCCCGAAGTCACAGCGCCCGGACCCAAACGGACGGCCCTCCGCCTGGCAGAAGGGCCCCCGAGGAAGGGGAGCGACGTCGGGGCGAGCCCCCCTGCCCTCCTGTCTGCCGGCTCCCATCACAGGCAGAGCCTTCTCGGTTTCGTTTCCTTCCTGCTCCCAGCCGTGGCTTCCTCTTTTTTTTATTTCTCGACTGCCGTGATTTAAGGCGGGTTCCTGTGCCCACAGATTCTGGGATTCCTTTGGTTGCAAGTGTCAGAAAGCGGGCCGAGTGCCGCTCTCAGAGCCGGGGCACCTCTCTGCTGGCGGTGGGCGGCGGGACCCTCGTCCTCCTCCCTTTCCCTTTGCTCCGGGCCACCTCGGTGCTTGCACACGTCCATCCTGCCAGCCCTACGACCGATGTCGGTTGACCTGAGCGGGGTCAAGGGCCGAGGTGGAGCTGGGTGGGTGCAGAGTAAAGCTGCTGCCTTCCCTAAGGGAAGTGACGTGGTTGGGACCAGAATGACAGGTGGAGGCTGGCAGGAAAACCAGAGGGGGAGGTCTCCTCGCTGTGGGAGGGGAATGAGTCTGGAGGGTTCTGAGCTGTCTGCTCCCATCAGTGTCACAACAGTAGAAGGAAGAGAGGGCCCTCGCCAGAGAAGCATCCATAGTCCTGAGTGCAGCTCCACTCTCTAGAAGGTTCTAGACTGTCCTCCTCCTGCCCAAGGGCATGCTCACTGCTGGTAGTGGCAGAGGTCAGGGACCCACCCTGAGCCTGGCCTGCCTCCCTGGTGTGCTGATGGTCCTGCAGCCCATCCTGGGCCTCTTTGTCTCCCTGGCAGCGGGGCAGGAGGCGAGCGGCGGGGAGGGGCCAACACGCAGCACCTGCCACGGGCGAAAGTGAAGGAGCATTGCCCAGAGCATCACGGAGAGAGCCAGCAGGGCCGATGGTGGGCGCAGAGTGAGATGTGGGCGCAGCGCTGGAATCCAGGCCTGGAGACCCGTACCCTGCCTGCGCCTCTCTGAGCCACTCGAGTCCAGAAAGGTCTCCAGCACGAGTGCACCCCCCCTTCGGCCGTGAGGATGGGTCTGAGTCCCCGCCTCGGAGACACCCCTGTTCTCTGAGGATTTTCTTCATTGTATGGGAGCCCTTTTGCAGTGATGATGGCGTCTGGGCCGGGGGCTAGGGCCCGAGCAGTGCACGAGACTAGATGGTGGGCTGGGTGCCAAGGTCAGCCCCAGTGCCAGCCCCCAGAGTTAAGGGGGCACCCTTATCTTGCCACCTTCTTACTTGGGAGGTGTCCAGAGGCCTTTCCCCTTTCCCAGGTGTCCCATCTCCCCTGAACCCTCAGCGTATTGGGGGCAGTGGGATCTCAGGCCTTGCCTGGAGGTTGGCAGACAATGCAGCTGGGAAATCACTGCCCAGATGTGGGGCCTGGTCTGCCCCCTCCAAGGCCAGCAAGAGGAAGGTGCTGTCACCGTGGAGAAGTCCCAGGGGACTGGCAAGAGAGCCAGCGCCAGCACCGCGAGGCCCGTCCTTGCCCCAGACCGGGGTGGTGGTCCTCCTACACTCAGGGCAGGGCTGGGAGGCAGCTCAGGGCTCCCTGAGAAGGCAGGTGCTCTGGCACCCCGCACCGCCGACCTTCCCGTCGCTTCTGATTGTCGGTCCCCACCTCTGGGCTGCGCGGCCGGGCAGGCGTGTAGCCACGTGGGTCCTCGGCACCCAGCTCTGAACCAGAGGGTCCCCGGCCCCGAGCAGCGGCCCCGGGGCTGGCGCCGGCAGGCTGCTGGGCTGTGATTGGAGGCGAGAAGGCGACCACGTGGAGCTGCCGCCGTCGACCCCGGCTCCGCAGCCCCCGGCCCGGGCGGCCCGGGAGTAGAGGGCTAGAAGCAGGAAGAATCAAAGTGCGTCTCTTCATCAGCTTATTTTTAGGCGTGTTATATAAGTGGCTTCATCTCAGCGTCACGTAGGGAGGGGGGTCTCAGATTTAATTACAGGATGACAGGCTTTGCTTTTCAAGCAAGCTGTTCTCCTGGCAGGCAGGCACAAGGATTTGTGAATTTTTGCTAAACAGAAGGAGCCCTTTCTGAGGTGGCCGCGCAGCAAAACTTTGAAGGGCTTTCACCTCCACGTCTCTCTCCGCCTAACCTGGTTTCAGCTGAGCTGGGCCTAAGGGGTGGCCGTTCAGCTCAGATCCCAGGGACGGGTGTGCTTGGCAAGGAGGCTGTTTCTCCCTCCGCCCTCCTCCTTCCTCCGGCTCTCCGAGAAGGGAGCCAGCCAATCCGGACTCCTCCTCCTCTTCTCCTTCCTGGACTCAAGCACTTGTAATCGGCAATCAGAAAGTTCCAGGGCAGGAGGGACGGGCATACCTGGCAGGGCCTCACCTTTGGCCTCCACCCGGGTCTGTGCTGCTGACACCGTCCACTCCAGGTGCCCCAGGCGACTGGCCCGGGCCGCGGTTGTGGCGCAACTGTCCGAATTGTGTCCGGAGAACTGTTTTCTGGTTCCTGGCCAGGCCCCCGGTCTTCGTGACCGTCAGCCGTATCGGCAAGGAAGCCTGGAGCCGCCCGGAGCTGGAAGATCTAGGCCTGGGGGAGTCCTGCCTCCTGCCAGCAGGAAGGTCACCGCCTCCGGCGCACCGTGGCCTTGCGCGGCACGGAAGGGGAGCTGTGTCTCCTGCCCGCGGGTGAGGCCTGAGGTCTACCGGCTGGGAGTGGACACAGCGTGCAGGAGGAGCCAGTCGCTGGGCAGCCCGGCGGGGCTCGGCGGCTTCCCCGGCCTCTGTGGGCCCCACCGGGGAGGGGGGCAGGGGCACCTGCCCCAGGGCTTGGGGACATTCAAGGTGCGAACAACACTAGAAACATCGAGAACTGTGCCTGGCACGCGGCACGCCTTCAAATGTTTTACAGATTGTTGTCATCGGCCCTTAGACAGTTCTAGAAAGCACCCAGATGCCACGTAGAAAGGCACCCGAGAAGCTGCCCTTTAAAAAGCGGGGGTGCCTCAAGAAGACTCCCCGGCCCCTCACGCGTGGGCCGTGCATGGCCGCTGCCTCCCAGAGAGCGCGGCAGGCAGGAGAAGAGCTTCGCTGGGAGACGCTGGGGAGCAGTCCCCAGCCAGGGGAGCCAGGGCACGGCCACAGCGGGCATCTTGGTGACCTCCCGTGGCTTGACGACGTGAGGGGGGCGCCCTGCACTCTTCTTCTCGGAACCTGTCCCGCCAGCGTAATCCCACAGAAGCATCAGACGTGTCCTGGCGGAGGGACAGCCCCTGCACCCCCACACGGCTGGGCCACCCGAAGCCAGGGACGTGAGGGCGACCGCGGCCCAGAGGCACCCGGGGAGACGTGACGACCAGGCCGAGAGGGTGTGACGGGGAAACCAAGGAAGCCTGAACAGAGAGTGGACTCCTGCTGACCACGGGCCCGCG